GTGGTGTTTCCACCAGCGAACGCCTGCTCAACCCATTTGCAGAATGAAGGGGCGCCATAGAATGTATAGGTTTCCCACTCAACCACATACATGGTGCAAATCCCAGAGCGCAGGAAAGCGCAGGAAATAGGAGGAGGAAACGCTCAGCCCGTTTTTAAATAAAGCTTGATTAGCGGCAGACGTGGAGCCGCACCGGACACACGTCATGAGCCGCGCGATAAATTGGAAACACCAACACCAAAAAACTGCAGCCAAGGGTAGCTATACACATGATTATACACAGCACAGGTATCTCGCATGGCAAAACAAACATTGCATCGCGTATTCCAAGCCCCTGATTTCCATGGCTTTCCCTTTTCATCAACATCACTTCGCCACAGCGGTTCTCCGGCAATAGCGAGGTCAGGCCCAGCGGGGCGCCGGGTTTGCAGCGTCACGTGCCTGGCAGCCAGGAGGCGTTGACGTAGTCGGTGCCGTCGAGTCCGAACGTCGGCGCCAGCCGCACGCGCGAGTCCTCCATCTGGATAAAGCTGCTACCGCGGCGTTTGCTCTCGTTGCAGGGCCGGTTCCCCGACGACACGGTGAAATGACGCACCTTCAGGTCCGTGGCGCTCTGAAATCGGTCAGGTGTGCGACAGCTGCCTCTTATGTCAAAAGTGAGCTGGTGCGCATGTCAGATGATTTCTACACACTATGTGTAAGTCATCGTTGGAAGCCGTTTGCGCTTAGGCTTAACGATGAATTGGTCTAGGAAACACGACTAGGTGACTTCAGTGATAAGCCACAATGCAGCACAGAAGCGGTAAAGTACATAGCAACGCAGCGTAAAACAGCACGCACGTTGTACTGTTTCTCGGCGGTCGAGTGCGGGAAGCCGGTGCCGCAGCTGCTCTGCAGCTGCTCCAGGTACCGGCGAGCCCCGTCACGGGGCACGAGCGTCTCCCCGGCCGTCACCCGCTCCAGCAGGCAGTCGTGCAGGAACGCGTACTCGGCCAGCGTCGTCAGGAGGTGCGGACACTGGCCTGAAGACCAAGCCAGCTGTCGATTAGCGGGAATATGCCCAACGCTGTCAAACAGCACGGACACCAGGCAGCGGATCCAGCGGACTGTGTGGGAGCGGGCACTCGCTCGGAAGTGACTGGCGGTGTAGACCATGACCGGCCATGGACAAGTGCTTTCGAGACGGCCGCGCAGGAACACGTGCTTGTCCATATGCCAGTTGCGCAGCTGCCTATAACTTCGGGTCGGTTGGCTATTGGTGAGCTCTTTAAGAGAGACATCCCGCTGCGCTTCTTATAAACGTTTAAATGTAACTATCAAACGATTTCTGCTTTGACCGTGCCCCTCTTTCCCAACTGTTGACGGAGGCGCCCAAAATGACGTGTACTGTGGCGCCTCCAGATGCCCCTCAATGTCATATATTTTGCAAAGGCATTCCCTCAGTGACTGTCTACTTCTTCCAAGGGTGGGATCAGAATAAGGTGTGTGCTTGCCTCAACATCGTATGCGTTCCAAGTGGATATAGTGGCAATGCACGAAGACCCTTGCCTCGCACCCAAAACCATATCATCAAGGGATGCGCTATCAAGGGACGCGTTAAGGCGACCGGCGTTCTGCGATGCACACGCGTATTACGATAGCGTCGGTATGGATATTTTTCGCACGCTGCAATAGTACGCTCATTACTTCCATAGACTTGGGAAGTCACAAAAAGAGATCATGCCCGCACTTCAGAATTTGAACATTTTTAGTTCCCAAAGCTTCGTTAAAGCGCTCAGGTGGTGTTGAAATTTGCAGGTGGTTTTATTAGTTTGCAAATGTGCATTTTACATAGTTTGAATATGTGAAGTGTTGCAAATTTTAACCCATTGACATCATGCATCGATGTAGGGTTATTATTTATACCTGAAACCATTGAGGGAGAGGCACACCAACAGGGAACCTGTAGAAGCCACAGTGTACCAAGCCAGGGAACTAGCACCGAGCACCGCTCGCCCGCCCTAGAAGTGGCACGCCCTCTCTAGGTCCAAAGGCCCAAGTCATGTCGAAGGCAAAAGTAATCAGGAGGCATGAAGAGGCAGTATATCAGGGCATGGGAAGCATAATGTCGAAGCATGAAGCATGGATGAAGCAAGAAGGGCGAATGTCTTTGTTAAGACTTGAGGACCCTGTCTTGATTTGTTGTGTTTTGATGTCCATAGAGCTGTTTTATGTATTTTAGGCACTCAGCAGGCGTCTTGGGCTGCCAAGAATAGGGGAGAGTTGTGTTTTATGAAATCTCCAACGCCTCCAAATAGCGTCCAGAACGGAAGGGACCCTGCACCAGTTTTGGCAGTGGCAATGGCAGTGGCGTCGATGGCAGCCTCCCGGAGATGAGGACATGTAATCGAAGCCTCCTCGTGCACGACGGAAAGGTTGTTTATACTGTCAAGAACTAAAGCCTTAGCTCACAAAACTGGCCGACAGTGATCACCAAAGCAGGACCATGGAGTTTGAGAATGGTCCCGAATAGAAAAGAGGATAGCCGGCAAGGAGGGACCTCTTGGCTGTTAGCGGCCGCTTGCTCGGATTTGTCATCATCACCGGCAGAAACGCTGGATATGCCACTTAAGAGCGAATAAAATAGGCTAAGGAAGGCATGGTCCCGTGGGCATCCCAGCTCTAGAATACAGCGACTTGCACAGATGTGAATGCACAGATGTGTTATGAGCTATCACGTTCATAATGACCTAGTTAGTGCTAATTCCACCAAGATATATTTAGCAATGATCCTATGGTAATGCATGGCAAACAATCCTCGTTTGCAATGATTGGTTTCTGAGCTCCCTAGCCCTCCAAAAACTGCGTCGATGCTGCATGGGATCGACCCATCGGGCAATTCACAGCCGCACTCAGTTTGACACACGTGCTGATCAGCTCCACAGCTTGTGAGTGCTGGGAAATCCATTCAATTTGTGTCCGGTGAATAATGGTGATTCGAGTGGCGACCAATTCAGCTGTCTGGATTCCATCCTATAGCCAGCAATAGAGTGTGGCTGGCTAAACTAGGCCCAACTGATGGCGTAGAGCTCCAAAGTCTGATAGCACAAGTGCCGGCATATACTTTAAAATGAGTGTTCCACATCTGTATGGGGCTTTGAATTGAAATAACCATCTTGAAGATCATTTGGAGCAGCTCACAGTCTTGCCGTTTTAGGACCTAAGCCCCGCTTAGTTTCCGAGCTACGAGCCCGCGAAGATGTGCAGACTATTTTGGCGAGGCTATGTCAAGGTCACCCAGGCATCCGAGTGTGAGCATTAACCGTCTGGTATTGATGGCACCATGTGGCAGCATCGTTATACGACTGACCGATATGACCCAAGGAGCAAGTATTGGCACTGTTCTCTGCGACGCTGCAGTTATCGCTTGCACACAGTTTGTGGCAGTAACTGGGAACCGTGCCTTTCCTGACAACGGTCGGGAAGACGACCGATGCGTGTAAGATGAATAATCAGGGACGATGGCCATCATTACATTAATGCAGCAGAGTCCCGTGCAATGTTCCACACTTGACCAGCCTTGAAGACAATCGCAACGCGAATAACAAGGACATGGTCATAACACGAAAAATAAAATTGAGAGAAGCATGCATGCATAAAGATAGGTTGTCTGAATCACACAAGTACGATTCAAGTACGAGATAGTGCGATGCAATGAGGTTCCTTACCTTATTGTAGTCAGAAAACTACTGCTCAAAATCGGAGAGTATTGAGTATAATACATGCTCATATAATATCATACCTAAGTATATAATACATACTCATATCATATCATACATTACACTGTCAACTGTAACGCCGCAAATATATTACACTACTAACTGCAATGCTGCAAATATATTACACTGCTAACCATAACGGTAATATATGCATCTATTACAACTAAATGAAGTATAATACTAGCCATAACACTGTATCTCCAAATCAGAGACTCAGGAACATCATTTCTGTCAAACGAACTCTCTCTTTGTCCTATTGGGACTCCTCAAGTCAGCGACATCCACTGCTTTCACCTGGGCAAAAGTGTATGCTTTGTTTAGCCCTACCCTGAAGGCCTGTGCCTTAACCGAGATAGTACTCTACAAAAATAACTGATTGGTTTAAATTAAACGCCTAGTTTAAAAACGTTCCTAAGTCCAACATCTCTAGCCTGCCATTTTCATTCCGCATGTTGCAATCTTTGGCATTTTCCTTTCATACTCACATCGTGATGCATGCTATGTAAACATGCTGCAACATAAAAGTTCCTTAACTCATTAGCGTGACAACTTTTCTTTATTAACCGGGTTCACTACGTCATTCACACATCTCACCACGTTTTCCTGGCGCCTGCACACGCCCCCCCCCCCCGCCCATCGCGTGCTGTGCCCCCCCCCCCCCCTCCACCTTCCGCCCCGTAACGAGCCGACGCAGGCCATAGCCCCTGTGACCGGGGGAGCGTTCAGAGCCACCGCCGCTAATGGATAACGGGGCCGGCCGCTAAATCAGTGGACCGTCAGCGCGGTTATGGGCCGTCGGAGATTTATGGTCCGAACGGAGGCTGCTTTTTCTAAGCACGCGACGGATGAGAAGGTGGACGAGGTGGCCACAGAACGGGGTGGCCACAGAACGGGGTGGCCACAGAACGGGGTGAAGCGGGTATGGCGATGCGAAGTTAGCCTTATGGTGGTCATGTGCCGCTGTGTCTTCACTTCTGCACTGGACTGTATTGTGTATTCAGTCGTTGCAGCCCGGGTGTAGCCAGAGGGGCACATAGATCGCATTATACGACCCAGTAAAAACGTGAAGCCACATCACGAACAGTTTTGTTAAGTTCTTGTGTTAAATTTTGGCGTTGAAATAATCTTCCTGCTCTCGTTTCCATCATTCGGAATGGTCGTGCGTAAATGCCTATGATGTCGCCAGTTGCTCAGGAAACTGCATACGATATTCCATAACATTATTTGCGTTATCAAGTGTGCCGCCTAGCTCCGCGTATGAGCTGTCGATCGCTGCAGCGAGTGTGGAATAGGAGAAAATTCTGTACTGGGACTTCCACACCGTTTCAACCAGGGGCTGATGAGCCTAACTGATGTCTCGGTGCCGATTACTGGGCTCACTGCGCCGGTACAGGATCCTTTTGCATTAGTGACGGCTCATGCTTCGAACCAGTGCCATATGTCAAGGTTAGAAAGCCTGACGCATCACGGAGGGGACTAATGTATAATGTAGCCCTCTGAGGGTTTCATTATTAACCCGAGGCCACCTTCCCCGTATCAGCAGAAAGACGGGCGCAGGGACTCCGAAACTGACACAAAATGCTCTCCATCTACTGGCCAGAATATTTTACTCGTGCAATGTCAATTTTGACTCGTGGGATGAAGTTAACAGCTTCAGCAACACGAACAATATGGGTTGCACAAATGCGTAATAAGTTATTGTTGCTGTACGTGCTAACCCGTCCCGAGAAGCAATCCGGAAATCAAAAATTAACATGCGCCCGGGTGGCCGGTTAGATACCCTTCGCTCGGGTGCGGGGGTCAATTTGACCCCCTAAGATCTCGGAAACTAAGAAAGCTAGAGACACCGAATTTACAGGGTGTCTTGACCTGTACGTGAACTCACTTAGGTCAAACTTTGAGCTTCCTAGGTCATGACCTTGATGTTAAGTAAGGTCAAACAAGTTTAAATTCCAGGTTGGTCTCTTAAGTGTCCCCAGAACCTAGGCAACTGTTTCTAAGCAAAAGGTCACGAGCCCATTTGCGGTATGTGACCTTGTTTGACCTTTTGAAGGTCATGGTGACCAAAATCATAGAAGACTGCTCCGAGTTTGCATTTGAATAAGCGACAAAGATTACGTTTGGCAGCATGTTCCTAAAACAAAATGTCGACCCGGGTTATCTTAGGTCAATGACCTATTCTGACCTCTAAGAAGTTAATGGAAAAATGTATGATACGGTTCTTGCTGTCAATAAATTTGGAATGAGCACCACAAACTATGCCATGCAGCAAACCCTCGAACAATAAATCAGGTTGGTTTTGACCTTGGTCTGACCTTCACACCTGACCTTAGGTCAACGTAATTTGCTGATTCAATATTTTTGGTGCATAAGAAAGCATCTCAGAAATGTATGGCTTCGTCAAACACTCCATTATTGTATCAGATTGGACGATTTCCTACAAACTGCCTTTGCTGAAACCATGACCTGACTTTGACCTGCCAGAGGTTAGCGGCCTTGCAAAGTACATCTGATTTTTTGTGATCAACGATCCGCTATTCAATTATCTACATCTATGCAAAACTTGGCGTGACTACGCCGCGCCGTTCGCAAACCATTCTGGAAACACCTTGGGGGGTCAATTTGACCCCCACCTGAGCGCGTGTTAAAGAAATGAAATTGAAACCTACGGACAGGGACTAGGAGGGGACAGGGACGGGGACAGGGACAGGGACGGGGACGGGGAAGAGCCTGCCATCTTTTAAACGTTTACCTATATAGGGTGTTTTAAAATATCACTTTCCGACACGTGCTCCCCCCCCCCCCCCTTGAGCGCCACCTAACATTGGCTGAAAGGCCGTCGCCGCCCGGCCCATGGAGACTGCAACGCCGGGCGTCGGTGCCCTTTTTTCCTAGACAGCGAGCACACATGCTTAGAACTAAACTGTACTTGTTTTATTGATGCATTAGAAAGGAAGCATGGAATTTCCCCACGCGAACGACGTTCTGGCATATCATCACAGATTTTTGAGCCTGTGTCAGTCTAGGCCGGCGTTCAATCCCCGACCCCTCAACATGTTTGTAGAGCTTTGGAAAATCCGGCAACGGCCCTGGCTGTCATTGTTTCAAAGAAAGTTTCCAATGAACCGCTATAAGGTGAGAAGTGCCAGCGGTTTATTCGATGCAATCACTTAGTTTCAGGTGAATTTCACTTTATTTATGGCTGAACACAAGATGATCTGCCTTCTCTCTCAGTCATAAAAGTTGAGCACAACATGAAGAGAAGGAAATATATATTTTTTAATAGAGTGGGCTAAATCTAGTGCACATAACAGAATAGTTAGCCGATACAAACTAAAAATCCGAATGTCAATCGGCCGAAATCAGAGGACTTTGCATCAGGGGAGGGGGGAGGGGGCACCACGTTCAATGGGACACCACAGTGGAGCAAAGTCCCTTCTCTGACGCAATCCTGATTTACTCGCGCAGCTTTTGATTTGAGCTGACCAATAGCGTCCACGAGCGTCACTGACCTATTGCGTGCTGCCAGTAGGAGAATACGCCCAGCTCCTGTTTGTGCTTGAGCTGAGTGAGAAGAGTGGCGAGTCCCACAAACAGGCCTGCACTGCAGGATGGTGAGCTGAGAACGGACCATGGATGGTTAGACTACCACAGCAAAGTTTAAGATGGCCAGATTACGAACTAAACACGTGCCACTTTTAACTGGTGAAAACCGCCCCAACAAGTATAGATGTCACGCTATTTAGAGCCAAGCCCTATCGATGATACGATAAGACATACGAGTTTTGTGACCAACCGCTGAGAGTAGTGTCCATGCCAGCTAGCAAGGCGTTGACTGTTGTTTCATGGCGCTTCAACTGCTCAGGCCTTTTACGCCTGAAGAGATGGCTACTGCAAAACCGTGGCGCTAGCCATGCCATGACAACCGGCACCACTCACCCGGAGTTGTTGGCACCGGCTACGCACCGGTCACTAATGCTGGCTGCATGGAGACAATCAGCGCTGGTGCCCTGACACCCCCAGCGCGGGCCACCCCGGTGCGACCTTCGCCTCCTGGTCTTCCCCACATCACGACAGCTCTGTTTACCCCGAGACGACCAGCGTGGGTGAGCCAGTGCAGTGTTCGCTGACGATGATGCGCCGAGTGAAGTGCAGCAGCTGCAGGGGACTGTCGGGCATCCCCAGCTCTGGCCAGTCGGTGTACTGCCACAGCTGGAGGCGCCGCTCGCCGCACCGGCGGGACCGGCCCTGTCGGCAACACCGAGGCCGGCATCACGCTGAGCCCCACGGGCCACCCGTGTCTAGCACCGCACCAAGTCAACCTGAGCCATACGAGCCACCCGTGTCCAGCACCGCTCCATCACTCCTGAACCCCATGGGCCACCTGTGTGCTCCATATCACCTTGAACCCGAGGGGCACCCCGTGTCCAGCACCTCTCCATCACCCCTCGGACCCACGGGCCACCCGTGCCCCGCACCGCTTCATGACACTGAGCCCCACGGGCCACCCGCGTCCAACACCGCTCCACCTAATTCAGAGCTCCCACCTTGATCAAAACGGCACCGAGCAGTCTAAGCGCGGATTGCTACCCGTATGCTGCAAGCACTAAGGAAAAGAAGACGGAACAAATTACAAGCGATAAGTTTGGCTGCACTTTACCGAGAGGTACGGCACTGGCTTTCTCGCTAATGAAACTGAATCCTCAGGGAAGTTCATCAATGGCAATGTGTCAATGGACCGAGACGAAAATCGTCCCAATAAAAATCATCACTGCCGCAAGCAAGAACGATAACGGTACACCATAAAGTGTATCGTGCAGAGGAGGCTTCGGCAGTCTACGCCGTAGCGTTTGCTGTGACCACGGCACCGCGCCGCTGGCGTTTCACTAGTGTGCAGCCTTGATGACAACTCACGTTGCCTCCAAGATCATCCATGACTGGCTGGCGTATTGATCTTTACACACACGTGTTTCTGTATGCACGTCGGCCACGCGCACAAACCCTAAGCGCAAAAACCGCGCACCTACCTGCGCCATGCTTTTGTCAGTTGCGTCATAATTTTCTACAGCTGTAGCCGTCGCACATAGAAGGTGTTTTCTTATTTTCATCTCCTCATAATTTTCTGCAGCTGTAGCCGTCGCACACGGAATGTCTTTTCTATTCGCATCTCCTCATCATTTTTTCACAGCTGTAGCCTTCGCACACGGAATGTCTTTTCCATTCTCATCTCCTCATAATTTTGCACAGCTGTAGCCGTCGCACACAGAATGTGTGTTTTTTTTTCATTTCCCATCCAGTAACGTTGGACATTATTTTTGAAATCAGAAGCCCCAAGGATTTTGGTTTAATGGTTGATTGCCTAGCGGGCAACTCATTCTTGCCAAATTTGTAAGTGAGCAACCATGGTTTACCCGGTTTGTCTATCGCAGCCTCCAGGACCATTTGGACCGCTAGGTGTGGCTTATATTGTGATCAGGAACCCATCTCGAATTCCAATTTCAGCACCTTCGGGCATTTCCAAAATACTGTTATTGCCTTTTTATTTTAGTTCAAATGTTTGTTGCCGAAGTGTTTACCACAAGTGATAAATCAGCGCGGAAAATTCCTTGTAGGCAATGGGGAGCACATTACATCCTTTCCTGATATGGCATGAACATAATCATCATTCCCATGAACTAAGGCACCTTCAGCAACCTTTCCTGGTACGGCACGAACATGATCATCATCCCCACGAGCTTAAGCACCTTCAGCTTGGACACGATCGTTTCTCGGACGACGCAGCCCACCAGGGCTCGCTCTGTGTGGCCTCTGACACTGAGGTCACGGAATGATCGAACACGACCCAGCTCAGGCAGGAACCATTCCTCCATGCCCTGCCAAAGGAAGACACTGTTAGCATTTTCCGAGACTTCCCCGCTGTCGTGTGAAATGGTTGTGGGGTTCTATGCACGCATGGCTGTCACCAATCTATTGTTCACCACTAGCATAACACGTGTGTAATATGCCACAAGTGTTACCATCCTTATATACCTACAAGTCCATGTGCATGCAGCTGCAGGGGAACCATATAACTCCCGCATTGAACCAATAAGACGGCATGCAGCTGGTATCAGGTAGATGGTGCCAGAAAATAAGTTCATGTGGAGGCAGAGGCCTTCGGCGACCGATATCAGTGCGCTGTCTCTTGTGTTTAGCAATTGCGAACAAAACATCGCAAAATACAAAATGGACATATTCAGAGTGGGTGTTGATCGCGATGAATGAGGATACACAGCCGTGTTACATCTATGATGCAACCACTCGCGGCCAAGGCGACAGCGTCTTGCACCTAGGGTCGGCGCCGGAAGAAGCGGCATTAACAGCCTTCTGGTTGATTACTGGAGTACTTAAGAGCCGGACGCGGCTTTGAGGTACCCTAGAAAGTCGCAGCCGATACAGTCGCCTACATCGCGCAGGTGCTCTCACGCTCTTCATCTGTTCTGGATGTTGAAATCTTATATACAAGAGACATCATGGTGTTGAGATCTCAGCCACGTAAATCCTAGATATCACCCTAAAACAAGAAAATCCGTGGTTTGCGAACAATAGGCTTGCTGGCACGCACACATCGACCCCACGTTTCTGCCCGTATAATTTACCGCATTGGCTGGCATGGTGTCAACGTCGTGTCATCGAAACCTAGACTCGATGCCAACCGGTGTTCTTCACGTGTGTCGAAATTTGGAACTATCAACTTCTGTCAATCGATTGGGGAGATGAATAATGGTCATGCTGCGAAAAGGCGGAGATGATCAAACATCTGGCAAACAAGTGCTTAACTGCTTACACGACACAGTTTCTTAAGACCTATCAATTACTACTGCTGACAACGTCAGACCTGCAGTCATTACCTGCAAAGATATCAGGTACCTTGCACAAAGCGTGAGTTAAAGGCCGAGCCTTGTCTCGCCGGACCAGTCACGTTCAAGTGTTGACAACATTTGCGCAAAGACACTTGAGCTGGGACATCGATTGTAAACCTCTTAGCCTAAGCATTGAAGCAGCATATGTATTTCAAAATACAGCTACACATTTTGCCCTGAACAAGTCAACGAGCCTTGGTTTACGTGCAAGTGCAGCACGCGAAATGAATCGCCAAGATCTGACCGCAGGACCCCTAACCGAGCTGACTGTGAAACGGAAACATCTCTGGGACCCCGAGACTCGGGGTGCCATCACATCGTCGGAGCCTGCAGCGTCAGCTGTCTGATGGATCCCACCTGTAGTACTCCGATGAGCACGACCGTGGTGACGCCCTGCTCCCAGGCCAGGCGCCAGAGGGCGTCGCACGCAGCTGCGCCCGGCCGCTCCGTCACGATGAAGGCACGCGACCTCTGGTACCCGTCCACGAAGTACGCCGCCGGTACCGGCCGGTTGCGGTACCGCTGCGAGGCGATTGGTACCCACGTCGGCTGCCCTAGGACGTACAGAACCCGGGTTGGATCTACGGTCGATATTAATTCCAGGGTGCCTTCTCGTGAATTATGCGTCTTTTTTTGGCGGCATGGGAGCCGACAGTTCACAAGAGCTGCCGAGGACGGCCGTCGACACGACACATCCATAGCTCTCCGGGAGGCGGGTGGCGGACAGCTCCGGAGTAGGATCGGCCTAGATACTAAATGTTATTTCTCACAATTTATATCGGTGCGGTGAAAGTGGAGGCCTAAGTTGCTGTGATATCCCTTCTCCAAGCACGTGGGACGCTTGTACACTATGCATGGAGGTGCATATGCTGGGCAGCACCTTAAGCGGTCACATGGCAGTGCTAAGGGATGATAGAAATCATTAACGCTTTGCACGAATGACCTTTTTAGCGGAAAATTTACAAAGCGGCCAAGAAGCAAACCCCTTACTCAAAGGAATCACAAAGGGCATTGTTTCGGAACGAAACAACGTCCCGACTGTTGTGGATGTCTTGGATGCCAGGTGGATGTGGATGTGGAGTCTTGATGCTATGCTGTGGCTGGTTCTCGGAAAAACGACTGGAGAAAATGTCGATGAAGTGAGAAATCACGGTTTAAGAAAAAACGTAACAATAGTCGTCCTTTCTGGGTTGTACCTAATTCTGGCGCGGGGTAATGCGATGCAATACCATTTACTGTCGCGTTTGTCAAATCGCGACAAGCGTTGTTTAATTTGCAAGTGAACAACAGCTCCTTGTCTGCAGCTCTGAGCTGCCAACACGGCAGTGACTTACAGGCTGCCGCCCCCGTCCCTGCCGTCGGGACCGCGGTCGTGCCACTAGTTGAAGTGCCGTCCGCCAGGGGCGCTGCCATCTGCAGCAGCTGCCACTCCCGTCTGAGTCCCTCGTCGGCGTCAGCTCGCAGCTGGCTCACGTGCTGCGCGAACAGGGGAGCGGGCACCGACTCCTGAGAGGGCGCCGGCCAGCCGGCCTGGCTGCCCGCCGGCTTGTCGCTCGTCTTGTTCGGGCACAGCGTCCGCCGCCGTCTGAGGACACAAACGTGTGATAAACTGTACCACCTTTGCCCATCCCGATAGCTCAGGAACACGGAGTCTCCCGGTCCTCCCACTCGTGGCAGGACGGATCTGTGTCGCTTTAAGCGCTTGCTGTTTGCGCTTGGCTGGGATGGCCTGTGGCCGGTGGCAACGGCCACACTAAAAGCCGGGTACCGTCAGAAGGCAGGAGGGACCCTACCGAGCATTGCACTACAGTGTTCCACATTTGAAACCGTTGAGGCAAATCTCAGATGTAATGGAAATAGCTCTTTTGTAACTCTTAGTCTGATTAACGTGCAAAACGTTGCCCTTAATAACAAACTTTCGCCATTTAGCGCTATTTAGCAAATGCGCCCCGCTATACCTCATTGCTCACGTCATGGAACGTTTTCACGACAGGGACACTGCCAGACTGGCCGTGTGAGAGTTGTCGCGATAGCGGGCGGTAAGCTCACTTGCGGTCCTCCAAGCGCCGCAAGAATGGTGTTGGTATCTGAGCGCGTACTTGTAACTTATTAGCGGCATGTGCGCGTGTTGTTGCCTTTTCTCGTGGTGTTCTTGCATATTTTCCGTGTTGTCATGCTCTTTTGTTACTCACATTTGCATTCTCGGTTACGACGCTATCCTTACATCATTCCATCCTCAGCCTCATGTCGGTCATTACTAGAAGAACTGCCCATATGTCTGGGTTTATATATCACAAAACGCGATCCGCGATTGAGAAACGAAATCAATGGCTTAACTGGTCGTTGGCCGAATGCTGACTGCCGACATGCAGATTGGTCGCACTCAAAAGGTTTGGATTTCGGTTGGGAGGATAACCTTACATGGACGGACACAAATATAATATTGCGGCGTTTCAAGTGCCGTAAGTGAGCCCACCGAACGCTAGTGGCAAATCTCACACGGTCAAGTTGGAAGCGACTCTGACGTCATAAAAACGTTCCATGACGGAAACAAGCGATAACGCATTGAGAAGAACTTCTAAAATTGTGTAAACACGTAATTTAGAACATACTTATGCAATCAAAATCATACTTTTAGTTATATGAGAACGTTTTCCATCATATCTGATGTTTGTCTCAATATCTCTAAATGTGAACCAACGCTTCCGTAAAGTAATGCGCGTTCATCATGTTCCTCCTTATAAATCGCACTCACATTACTTGACATTCCCTTCAAGTTCAAACAGACACAGTATCCTGTCAAGCTTAGCTACACGGTGACAATGAAACAGAGCCAAGGCCAATCGCTGGCAGAGCCGGCGGCTGTGGCTGAGCCGGGCAGCGGACCGTAACGCGGTACCTCGGAGAGGCATATGACTTCACTGACCGGTTAGCTGCTCAACAACGATTCAGTACGACGGGGCGATCTATGTTGTGTCAGAAATCCTTAGTGGATCATCTGAGACTGGTGCGTGACTTTGGACGATTGCATACTACCGGAAATCCATGGTTTCTGGTAAGTTGACTATCGTGTGCTGTTGAACTTTTAAGATTGCATAAACCGCCACGATCCAGCGAACGGTGTCTGGCCGGCATTATTGTTGGAACCCGTCCGACTACTGAGTGCAAGCACGAATACAATACAACACCAATGAAAAACAACACCAATGAAAAAGCCGAGCCATGTCGGAATCATAACCTCAGTGCAACTGTATCCGATATAATTATTTTTTAGTGCACCTTTCCTGATTTCCTATGCATTTTCGGGCATCCCATCTGGTACCGAGTATAATTAACTATATCAAGCAAATTAGGTAATCAATATACGACCACAAGCCACCATTATCTTATCGTTTCGATCAGCACACGTTTTTAATCCGCGAGATCTGGCAGAACGCAAAGCCGCTGCCCGGTCAAGCGTGCTTCTTTTTCAATAATGCGGCAACATAGCATTTACAAAAGGTGAACTGCGAAGTAGGCGTTGGTTAAAGTGCCTATGGCGATAGCTAAGCATGAAGCCAACGGATGTGTTGGAATGCTGAAGTCTGAAGATCCAGCCTAAGGTTCTACCTGAACAGCAAGTTTTATGCTCATACCTTAGCGACCGACCTTCGCGGTTTCAGGAAGCTGACACATAGGAAAAAATTTGCTATCACTTTTGATGGCACGTATTGTAAGCATGCTGTGAGCTCGCATTCTTCCATATGTCGTACATGACCATGTTTCTTGCATTGCATATTGGGCCAAGCTTTCTCCGGATGCAGCAGCGTGGGTACAACCTATCGCTGTCAGTCAGATGGACTGAGGCTGACATCGCGGGCCACATCATGCTCATATTACCAAGTCATGGCATGGCAGCCGCGCTCAACAGCGAGGCGGTCAGAAACAATGGCTGCCAGGCCCGAGCGCTCGATAGCGCCGTACTGCAATCGAACAGCACAGAAAGCCGAGGCTGGTGCTGTCTGCAGAAACCATTCAGACTTCGTGACGAGCGCGTTGCTGCGGAGAATGGCACTTATGAGTTGAGTGGTCTTAACAGCGTGCGGTAACTGTGGATCGCTCCCCGTGCTGCACCCACCGTCTTTCAGCTCTGGCGCTACTTTACTGAAAAAGTTGGCGGAGGCTGCCCTCAAGGTACGATTTATGATTTGTTCAACATGCCAAACAGATTGCTGGTGAGTTTAGTCTTTTGAATGACTCAATTTAGGCGGAATCATTGCGCGTGAGGCTGGTTATTAGTCACGCTGACTCGGAGCAGCGCCCGACAGTTTCCAGTTGTCCTTTTTAGCTTCGAAACTTGTTTTGGATGAATGCCAAATTTATTGCTGAAATGCCTTCGCTTCGACCTCAATTACACTGTATTCATCCACCACTCAGGCATGCTTGCCAAACATTGCAGAAAACTGAAGTCGCCCCTTGAGCCATTATGGAATTGATCCTCTCTAGCCCGAGAAAGCTATGCGACTGAGTCCGTGCAGGAGCCCTCGAGACCACGCAGACGGGAGGGAGGACCGGGTCCGGATGGTCTCGGGCGGCATCAGAAGCTGATGTTAACGCAGCAAGCTCCACTGACCGAATCAGCGCTGCCCTCGACCAAGTCCGAACAGCTGATCAGCATGATGAACCAGGCGGTCATACATCAGTAATTTACCCACCCGGGGGAGAAAGCAGGTTGCATATCACGCATAACGCGGAGGTACGACACTATTTAATTATTACCTAACCTTTTTGCTAAGGGAGAACTGGATCAGTTCTCCCCGGCGTCTCCGTGCATAAATATCATCAGCATACCTACCGCTCTCAGGTGCAAAAACGCCTGTCCCCGGAGCCGTAAATACCGGTTAGGGGACCGGAGGAAGTCCTTGTTTCTTGATGTGATGATGCTGGGTGTGAACTGGTCGCCGTAGTCTTGGACCCGGGACATCGGTAACGCTGGGCAGGACACATGAATTGTGTTGTCTTTGACCCGGTAAAATAATTAGCATATATAGTGGTGTTCCAGCAAATAGTGGTGTTCCAGCTCAGTCACGTTTGCTCGAACAGCTGCCCTCTGTTAAGGATTTGGAGGTTCCGCGTACTTGGTCTCGATAAGGGCAAGTGACGTGAGCCAGGTCCTTCCACTCGGTTGTTAATTGTCCGCTCTAAATTGGGACTGTCTTGTTCTCTTAGGATCAACTTATAATTAGTAGCTTCTGGTTTATTAACATAAGAGCAAACCATGGATAGAATTTTAGTGACGTTCGCACATGAGGTCAGGGATGGAAAAGCTTCCGATCTACCGGATTTGGTAGTTGACAAAAATTGTATTCATATGTTTTCATCATTAGGCACGGTTTAGAGCTCAGATCTGCAAAAAAAGAAAGAAGATTTTCGAGAAACTACACCCCTGCTCCCAACTCTGAAAGGGATGTGGGTCAAATGTGGAGAAAAGCTGCTTTAATGGCATTTTGGAGGTCGCCCAGTCATTTTGTACTGAGTCCCCAAACCCCCTCACTCAACCCTATGTATATGGCAAAGATGCATCCGTGTAGCCCTAGATCTACAGATTGGCAGGATGCTACAAGCACCTGAAAATAATATCCCTTTTGGTCAGGTGGCGTCATCATCCCATCAACCAGAACCGTTGGCGGTCTTTACCATCCTCGCAAAATCGCAGGTATTTTACCGGTTTAGCCCTCGCACTTTCTACCATGCTCTCCATAACCTAATCTGGTGCAAAACCCATGCAACAATGGCATCAGCAGATGCACAAGACATCTTTGCACACCTTTACCACCTTTTTTCAAAGACTTGATCCGAACTCTTTGAATGGATGCATTTCAGGGATCAGAGTTCACGTTAAGCAGTGTTTGTTGTGTATATACATATATATATATATATATATATATATATATATATATATATATATATATATATATATGTGTGTGTGTGTGTGTGTATGTGTGTGTGTGTGTGTGTGTGTGTGTGTGTGTG